GGCCGAATTCCAGGCCCGTGGCCAGGTGCGGAGTGTTGCTGGGCGCTGCGGAGCCGCATGGAGGCCCGGGTCCACGGCCGGCCACCTGCACAGGCCGGGCTGCGAACCCCTGGACGGGGTGGGGGCAGGGTGCTGCGGGGGGCCCTGGAGGACACGCTCTCCAAAGAACCAGAAAGAGCCCTGAGGACACGCTGGGGTTGGGCCCCTGAGCCTCCGTATCTAAGGCCTTACCTGGCCCGTCCCCAGGCACACCCACCCGCTCGGGCCGACTGACCGCCAGCTTACACAGTTCGCTCGCCCCGAGCTCAACGCAGGACGCTCTTTTTATCTTCTCTTTTCTTTTTCTCTCTTTTAATTTTTTCCAAAAGAGACAGCAAGAGAGGGAGAGGGCACCTCCCGGGGGCGTGGTCAGGCCCCAGCGTCTCTGAGTCCCTTTCCCGCCCTGTGTCCGGGGCGAGCTCACACAGGCACCCACCCAGCGTGGTTTTCAAGCTGCCAGGGTGGGGTCTGAGCCAGAGGGCCGCGGGGTCTGGCTCCCTGAGCACCAGGCCATGGGGCTGGCCCTTCCTACACGCTCTCAGAGCTTAGCTCACATAGCTCTGCCCCAGGGAAGGCTCCCTGGCCCTCCGATGAGGGAGGGTCCCTTGTTATGTCCCCTTTCTGCATGGGAGGGCCCTTGTCTCGGGCCTGTCCAGCACCCAGGCCTTCTCACGGGCAAAGGCCTCCTACCTCCCGCTTGGCTACAGCAGCCCAGAGCGCACTGGAGACCTGTTCTCTGTCATTGGAGATCTGACTGGAGAGCGTGCCACGGCTCCAGGACCCAGGCTCCCTCTGCCCTGGCCACAACCTTGGCTCATGGCCCCTGGCATGGAGATCACTTCTTGATGCAAGAGTGTTGCCATTGCTCCAGCCACTGCATCTGTCTGCAGGCTGGAAGGTGAGGAAAGGTCGAGATTAGAAAACAGCCATCTTGGCTTCACTGACACTCTGTAGCTGCCCTTCCTGGGAACCTCGTGGGCACACATGGTCCCCCAGGAAGGTGCGTGGACCTGATCCTGGGCTTGTCGAGGAAGAAGTGCTGTGCCCCGCTACGGAGTGCTCTGAGTCACATGAGGAGGTGGGGTGCACATGTGGGGGGCAAGGGCAGTCTGGGCGTTTTCCTCCCTGAGCCTCACAGGGAGAGAAAGGCCACTTCCTCACAGTGGACACTGGTCCCCGCTCTGCTTCCCTCCTAGGGGCCCTGCCCAGACCGTCCATCTTGGCTGAGCCAGGCTCTGTGATCCCCCGGGGGCAGCCTGTGACCATCGTGTGCCGGGGTCCTGCTGGGGCTGAGTCATTCCGCCTGGAGACAGAGGACAGACGCTCCTACTTCAGGGAGGGGATTATAGCTCAACCGGGTCAACCTGGGACGGAGGCCAGGTTCCCCATCGAGGCAGTGAGCGGCCACACGGCCGGGCGTTATCACCGTTTCTATCACGTACGGCTGGTCTGAGCGCAGCGAGTCCCTGGAGCTGGTGGTGACAGGTGAGGAGGTCACTTGGCCCTGTCCCCAGCTCTGTCCCCAGGTCCCTGGACCTTGTCCCCGTTGCCGTCCTCCATCTCCCTGCCCTCCTCCTGCCCTCCCTCCCCTCTGCACACTCTCCCTCTGCCCTCAGCCCGCCTAGGTCCCCAGGCACCGAGGTGTCCTGCACGCTCAGCCCCAGCACCGGGTGGCACAGGGCTGCCCCGCTGGCCGTGAGGAGGGGCTGCAGAGATGGGAGGGGCCGACCGCAGGGACGGGCTCCTTCTCTCTAGGAAGCTGGGAAGCCCCTCTCCTGGACCGGAGCTCTAGGCGGCCAAGGCGTTGTGTCCCTGTGGGGGTCCCCTCCCAGAGTAGGTCGCAGGGTCCAAGGTGGCACTGGGGGCCTCTGAGCAGTGCCCCCCTTGCCTTGTGGGGGCCCAGCCCGAGATGTGCAGGACCTGGGCTGCGAGCCCTCGGGGGCAACCTCCCTGCAACGCCCGGAGTCTCTCTGCCTTTTCTGCTCTGATGGAGACTCCTGGGCCACACCCCAAGTCCAGGACAGCCCCCGTCCTTCAGGACTGGTTTATCCTGACCCTCCATTCACCTCGAGGGGCTAGGGACAGACAACGATCCCAGCGGGCGAGGTCAGCCTGCTGGACCCCTGACCCTGCGGTCAGATGAGGAGGTCCTCCAGGTGTGGCCACAGGCCAGGGACCAGATGGCCCGAGCCAACATATCAGGGGATGCCTGAGGGTACGTCCTGGGTGTGTCTGTATGTCTCTGTGTCTGTGTCTCTGTATCTCTGTGTGTCTCTGTCACTGTGTCTATGCATGTGTATCTGTGTCTGTGTCTGTGAGTGTATCTGTGTATCTCTGTGTGTCTCTGTGTCCCTGTGTCTATGCATGTGTGTCTGCATCTCTGTGTCTGTGTGTGCGCATCTGTGTCTCTGTATCTGTGTGTATCTTTGTGTCTCTGTGTATCTGTGTCTATGTATGTGTGTCTGCGTCTCTGTATCTGTGTGTATCTGTGTCTCTGTATCTGTGTGTGTGTATCTGTGTCTCTGTATCTCTGTATGTGTCTCTGTGTGTATCTGTCTCCGTGTCTCTGTATCTCTGTGTATCTGTGTCTCTGTGTCCGTGTCTATGCATGTGTTACTGTGTCTCTGTATCTCTGTGTGTATCTGTGTTTGTATCTCTGTGTGTATGTATCTGTGTCTCTGTGTGTGCATCTCTGTCTCTGTATCTCTGTGTCTGCATGTGTATCTCTGTCTCTGTATCTCTGTGTATCTGTGTGTCTCTGTGTCTATGCATGTGTATCTGTGTGTCTCTGTATCTCTGTGTGTCTCTGTATCTGTGTATCCGTATGTCTCTGTGTTTGTGTGTGCATCTCTGTCTCTGTATCTCTGTGTGTCTCTGCATCTGTATCTATGTCTCTGTGTCTATGTGTCTTGGGTCTGAGATCAAGAAGTGGTGAGATTTCCCTGTACCCAGAGCGGGGTTTGCTGTGGGTGAGTTTTTAGCCCTGACCTCACCTGGGGACCCTCTTGCTGACTGGTTGTGGGACTTGAAATATGAACCCAGGGATCTCGGGGTGCTGTGGAGGGGGCGGAATGAGGCAGGGCCGGGCATCCCCAGTGCGGGGACGGTCCCCTGGAGGTGGCCGAGGTCAGCCCTTCACAGGCCCTTCTGACCCCTAGAAGGCCCTGGTGAAGCTGGCCCCCGACCCACGGCCCTGGGCCCCACGACAGGTAAGTCACTGGGACCTGGGACCTGCACGGGGCGGCATGTGTGGGGTGGGGAAGCAGCTCCCGTCCCGGGGCCTGGAACCAGCTGGCCGGGCCGGTGACGTGGCAGTGAGCCCTGCCCCTCCAGTCCCCAGCTCCCGGGAGTACAAGGTGCTGAACTGTGTCCGCCTGGGCCTGGCCGCGGTGGTCCTGCTGGTCCTGGCAGGGATTCTGGTGGATGCTCAGTGTGGTGGCGCGGGCCCCAGTGAGGACGCAGTGACAGAGGCCAGGGAGCCCCCGCCAGGAGGATTGGCCCGCGGGGGACACTCTGATGGCTCCGAGGCTCCGCTGAGAGACCCAGAACCGCAGTGACCGGCCGCTCCGTGGGCGCCGTGGGAGGCTGTCCCTGGAGACCTGACTCACTCTGTCGGCCTCCTGTCTCGGAGGGCTGGCCTCAACGTCCAGTGCTTGTGGTCGCGGCGCCTCGTCCCGGCCCTCCCGGGGCTCTATTCCCTCCTGGCTCAAAGGCAGAACCGGCTCCCCCAGCCTCACCCACCCTCTTCACTGCCCTCCTCCAGCCCCTCCGAGGCTCCGGGCCTGAGCCATTTCTGCAGGTCACCCTGTGCCGGGACAGGGTCAGCATCCTGGGGTCCCCCTCATGCCCATGTCAGAGCCTCCCACCTGCCACCTCAGGCTTCCCCAGAGGCTGACACTTGCCCCGGCCTTAGCCAGGGAGGCCGGAGCCGCACCCCCGCCCACTCGCCATTTCCTTCCCCTGCTGGGACGGCCTCCTCCTCACCCCACGCTCTTGGAGGAGAGTCTGGGGCTGATGCAAATCCCGCCTTCACAGGCTGCTCACACTGTCCTTAGCCACCATTAAACCGAACAGCAGGTGCGGGGACCTTCCCTCCAGCACTCCCGTAATGGCTGAGTGTGGCCCGGGCACTGCTCGCCGTTCTGGAGTTGGAGGGCCACGGTCAGGGCTGCAGCAGACCGTGGCTGGCACCTCCTCGTGTGGGCACACGTGGCGGGCAGGCGTGCGCTCTCTCCCTTCCATAAGGGCACTAACCCCGCGCAGTCCCGGGACCCCACCTCCCACAGGCCACCTGCTCGGGCTGTCTCCTTGGGGCTCGGGTTCCACACATGGGTGCGGGGCCCTGGGGGCGTGGACCCTCGGGCAGGGAGCCGCCCACCGTGGCGGAGGAGCAAGGCGGCTTTGGGGGCACTGAGGTTACGGGACCTCCTAGAACTCTGCCTGGGTGCTCGCCCCGGGGCTGACCCGGGTCCGCGCTGGCCTGGGGACACTACCAGTGGCCGAGGACGACCTTCTGGGCAGGAGGCTGTGCCCTGGGGGACAGAGCGCAGGGGAAGCAGGAAGAGAGCCGAGCTCTGCCCCCAGCAGAGCCCGCTGTCTATTCAGTGGTGCTCCTTCCCATGGGGGGCTGAGCTGGGGACAGCAGTGCCGTGCGCTCCTCCGGCACAGAGGCCCACCGCGGCCTCCGCCTGGCGTCTGCCGGGGACACGGGAGCTCGGTGTCGAGTGTTCCGAGGGATTCAAACTCGGTTCCAACTGGCTGACCACGCCCAGTTCCCGAGGAGTGACAGAGGCTCTGAGTCCCCACAGCCTTGCCCAAGCGTGCCATTTCCGCTCAAAGTCCCAGGCCATCGGGAACTCATGACGTGTTTTTCTGTGCAAAAATGGGTCATGACTGGGACCAGCAGATGGTGTAGTGGCTACGTCTAGACCCCTACGTAGTTGACCGCAGTTCAAATCCTGGACCCGGTGGCTTAAACACACCAGGCACGTGTGCGCATGTGCCCCAAATCCCAGAACAGAGGAGCAGGGATTGCGGCGTGGCTATGTCCCCTGCGGGGTGACTTCTCACTTTCTATCTCTCTGCCTCTGCAGCGAGCGCATGCGCCCTATAGCAAAAACCTCTTTTTCTAAAAAAGGGCTATGGCTTCCCCACGACCCAACAGTGCCTCCATGCTGGCTGGGGTGCCGTGGTACTTCACTGGTCTCTGCACTTCTCTAATGGCTGATGGGCTGAGCCCCTTTTCTCCCCGGAGGGCACGTGAAGGCTCCTGTCAGAGAGACGGAGGGGGGAAGCCGAACGCATGTCGCGGGGCATCGTCACGCCACATCCCTCTCCTCTTCCCACCCCGTGAGGCTGTGGGGCACACGTGAACACGCACCCGACCAGTTTCTCAGGCCGCTGGGGCCGGGTTTTGAACCGTGTGGAGGCCACGCGCGATCCAGCTTCCTCACCCACAGGCCACAGGGCCAGCCCGACGCCGAGCACCCCTGCACGTGCGTGGCGGCCACGCGTGTCTTCCCGAGAAATGCCCACCAGCCCTCGGCCTGCTTTAAATGGGGTCGTTGGTCTTTAGTCCGAGCTGTGAGGGCCTCGTGCGTCCCCGGAACATTCCGGAATGACAGAACAAGGACGCAAGCGTGTTTGCGGCAGCATGGTCACAGCGGCCCAGAGCGACAGCCGAGGGCGGCCGGAGCCAGGCCCACCGTGCGGGGGGAACGGCCGAGCCTGCTGCCAGGTGGGCCCCGGGGAGCCTGCGGAGAGCAGCGGGGCAGGGCAGACCCCGTGCTCGGCTCGTTCCCGCGGTCGAGGACGGGACGAAGAGGCAGGGCTGAGGCCACTCCAGGCTGGGCAGGAGGGGGGCTTCCTAGTGAAGATGGCTTCCTTTGGGTGACTGAAATTTCTGGAACTAGACAGAGGGCGTGTGCTCTCACCGGAGACAGAGACAGAGACAGAGACCGAGACCGAGGGGGAGAAAACGCACCCACCCACAGGCTTGGCCGCACTGCAGTCCCTCCTCCTGCGTCTCCCGGTCCTGTCAGAATCTGCTTTGAGCCCCCGGGGAGGACTTGAACTGCGGTCGGCCGTGGGACCGGCTGCGTGACCACGGGGCTGTGGGCAGAGTTCTCCCCGA